CCTGCTGCCTTAGGAAGGAGAAAATAATGATAAGTTCTTCACTCACCCCAAAAATGCCAAAGCACTTTCTGCCTACCTCTTTGCACACAACCACCTTTTCTACCTAATGGAGCTGAGCACGGCACTGCTTCTCCTGTTGCTGTCTCTCTGCGAGGCGCCAGCTGTCCCTATGCTCCGTCTTGGCATCTTTGTAAGTACTTGCGGACGAAATGAAGAACTCGGCCTGTTTTGCAGGGGTGGATAAGAGGAAAAAGAAGGCTAAATGTTGAGGAAGAAGGTAGCAGTAGGAGGAAAAAAACACCTGGTTTGTTCTGTAAATTGATCGACAGCAGATATGTCAACCAGCAAAACATTCTTTTTTCATCTGAGGTGCCTAGATCATGGTGAAAGTGACATGTACTTCATATTATCAATTTGTGCAGTTCTTAAATTTTGTAACTGTTTGAGAAGCGTGTGGTTTTTGCTTTTTCTTGAGATAACCTAAGAATCTGTGTGCTTTGGCGGGGTGGTTTTAAAGTCATCGTCAGCTTGGTGCCGTTACCCCAGCACCATCACTGGTTCCTAGAACACAAACAGATCTCAGCTTGGGACAGGCTGCTAAACCTGCTCCTGTCCTCTCCCCCCAGTGCTGTGAGGAGTCTTTTTTAATGCGTGCATGTGTTTGAGGGACTCGAGCTTTTATGTCTAACCTTGTGGGTGAAGGGATGCACAAACTGGTGTGTACTGTTGGCAGTCCATGGCCAGTTCGAGAGGTACCGCTGTCAGGCACGGCGCTAGGAGCTGCTGTTACTGGTGGGAGAACCTGCATCTGCTTTTGGAGCTGTTAATGGCACCCTAGGACCGTGCCAGGGGTGTAGAACAGCGATGACAACCTTGGGGTCAAAGCGTTCCTCAGAATGAGCCAGGGCTGTGACTAAAGCTGAGGTCGTAAGAAAATCCTGTCATCGTCTTTGTGGTGCGTTTTGCATCTGCCAGCAGAGGAGGGGTCCATCAGCGCTTCCAGGAGCTGCGTTCTGTTCCAGAGCTTGATCAGGACCCTGGCTGTGGTTGGGCAGAACATTTATTTCAAGAGAAAACCCTTCTCTGTGTAAATTCTCGCTGCCCGGCAGCTTTTCTTCCAGTGTTTCACTAAAAAAAATTGCGGTCTCAAACTTTTTTTTTAAAAGGTTTTTGCTCCAGTTGCTGGTGTCTTGCCCTTTTGTTTCAAATGTATCAATACATTTTTTTGATGTGTTGTTCAAGTCCAAAAGGGATGTGGATTTCCAGGAAATTCAGGGCTGATACTGAATAGAGGTAAATTCTACGGGCTTTAATAAAAGTGCAAAGCAATAAATATAAAAACTTTGAAAAACAGAGCGCTGCACTAGCTGTAAGAGTGGCCTTGGGTTTTCCTGCGTGTCACAGAGCTGTGCTTGGACGGTTGTCAAACCCATGGGCTTCTTGAAAAAGGAAGGGCAGAAACGTCGCCTCTGATGTGCTGCTGCTTGTAATCGGAAGCACTGGTTTAAGCTTTGCTGTATTGTAACAGGTCCATGCAACCCTGGAGCTGTTTGCGTTAATTGTGGTAGTCTTTGAACTCTCGATGAAGATGAGGTGGCTGGGCTTCCAAACCTTTATCAGGCACAAGAGGACTATGGTGAAGGTAAGTTGTCTGTCCGGTTGTCAGTGTTCCTCCTTCAGCCTCTTCGGGAACCGAAGAACCAGATTAAATGCTGGCTTGTAACACAGCAGGGATGACCTAGCCATGTGTCCCAGCTGCCAAATGATTCATGAGAGATCTCTAAGCTCTCGGAGACACCTCCCATCCTTAAAATGTCCAGATAAATGGGTGGTCAGTGAAAGCATTGCCTTTCCAAAAAGGAGACTGCAGCTGTGCCTCTCATTAAACCCCTTTTTTGCAGACTTGCGTGCTGTTTGTACAGTTCATAGAGGCCATCGTGGTGTTGGTGCGGCAGACCTCGCATGTCCGGATAACAAGAGCCCTGCGCTGTATCTTCCTGGTGGACTGCCGTTACTGTGGTGCTGTCAGAAGGTGAGCAGTCAGCTGGCTGCGTGCTCTGCGGTCGTGCCTGGCACTGGGGTGGAGTAAAAGCGCTCTGATCCTGCGGGCATCTCAGGAAAGTAAGCGTCATTCGTGAGCATTTCAGATCTCGGGGGTGTTTTGTAACTGCGACTGAAGCAGTCTTGCCTGTGTGGGGAAGCTTCATAGGCAGCAGCTTTGGATGTGCTCACAGTACACGGTGCTTATGTGTGCTGTCCTCAGCTGTATCAACTGCCTCGGAGAGCACAACACGTGAACGTGGCTGTATTGTTTCTGGCTCCTAGGTTTGCCTGTAAACTGCACAATGAATCACAGAGCTAGTCTTTAGTCTGGAGAAGGAACCTTGACAGGGTGACATTAGTATTGTTTGCAGCACCTAAGGGCTAACTGCAAAGGACAGATAGGTAACTTGGAAACGATCTTTCCTACAAGAAAAGGCTGAGGGAGCTGGGATTGTTTAGCCTGAAGAAGAGAAGGCTGAGAGTGGACCTGGTAAATTCCAATAAATATCTTAAGGGTGGGTGTCAGGAGGACAGGGCCAGACTCTTTTCAGTGGTGCCCAGCGACAGGACAAGGGGCAACGGGCACAAACTGAAGCAGAGGAAGCTCCAGCTGAACCTGAGGAAGAAATCATTCCCTCTGAGGGTGAAGGAGGCCTGGCCC